CTTGAGAGCAAAAAGAGATGATAGATGAAAAATGCTTTGGAAAGTGAAAAGTACTGAACAAAAGGAATTGGATATGAAAAATCTCAACTTGCAAAGTGTTTAAGGTCTGGAGAGAATATGCACATTAAATATGGGCCTTAAGTCTGGCTGGTGTTGTTCAGTGGTTGAGCATTGACCCAGGAATCAAGAGATTGTGGTTTGATTCCCGGTCATGGCACATGCCCGGGTTGCAGGCTTAATCACTGGAAGGGGGCATGCAGGCAGTAGCCAATCAATGATGTTTCTCTCATCGATGTTTCTATCTCTCTATCCCGCTCCCTTCCTCTCTCTCTCTCTAAAAAAAAAATCAATAAAAACGTATTTTTTAAAAATATGGGCCTTCAGCATATGAAAAGAAGCCCTGAATCTAAGGATTTCTTTTCAGATTAGGGGAGGGGAAAAGGAACGTTATGGTTAAAGCCCACTTTCATATCTCAGCTCTGCCACCTTCTAGTGGTGTGGCTTTAACTACTCTGGGTCCCAGTTTTCTCTAGGAAAGTGGAGATAATAATATACACACGTCAGGGGGTTGCTGTGAGGATTAATGAAGACAAGGCATGTAAAGCATTGGCACCAGGCCTAGCACACTGCACACACTCCATAAATGCCAGATGTTATTATAAACTGCTTGACAGGAAAGTGAGGGAGCAGAGAAACTTAAAGCATCACTATAATTACATGAATTGTGATGAAACAAGTTAAGCTCTTGTTTGGTTTTCTTCTAAATTGGATCTTGTAAGCTAAACATTATTTTCTCTGTATCTGGGAGCAGATTTGTATGGAACCACAAAATACCCCAAAGAGCCAAAGCAATTCTTAGAAAAAAGAACGAAGCTGGAGGTATCACACTACCTGACTCCAAAATTATATTACAGAGCTACAATAATTAAACAGCATGGTATTGGCAGAAAAACAAACACACAGACCAATGGAACAGAATTGAGAGCTCAGAAATAAAACCACATGTATATGGGCAAATAATTTTTGACAAAGGAGCCAAAAACACACAATGGAGAAAAGAAAGTCTCTTCAATAAAAGGTGCTGGGAAAATTGGAAAGCCAAATGCAAAAGAAAGAAACTATTATAGTTTGTCTCCATGCACAAAAATTAATTCAAAATGGAACAAAGACCTAAATATAAGATCTGAAACAATAAATTACATAGAAGAAAACATAGGTACTAAACTTTGGACCTTGGTCATAGGGAACGTTTTATGAATTTGACCCCAAAGACAGGAGAAGTAAAGGCAAAAGTAAATGAATGGACTATATTAATCTAAAACGCTTCTGCACTGCAAAAGAAACCACCAGTAAAATAAAAAGGCAACCAACTGAATCAGAGAGGTTATTTGCAAACAACAGCTTCAACAAGAGGTTAATATCCAAAATATATAAAGAACTCATACAACTTAACACCAAACAAACAATCCAATTTAAAAGAATGGGCAGAGGACATGAATAGACACTTCTCCCAAGAAGACATACAAATGGCCAACAGATTTATGAAAAGGTATTCAATTTCAGTAGCTATTAGGGAAATGCAAATCAAAAGTACAATGAGAACCACCTCACACCTGCTAGAATGGCCATTAGCAACAAGATAGGTAATAACAAGTGTTGGAGAGGTAGTGGAGAAAAAGGAACCCTCATTCACTGCTGGTGGGAATGTGGACTGGTACAACACTATGGAAATCCTGGCTGTTCCTAAAAAAATTAGGAATAGAGTTACCATATGACCAACAATCCTGCTTCTGGGTATCTAACAAAAAAACCTCAAAAACAGTCATTTGCAAAGATATATGCATCCCAATGTTAACTGCAACATTATTCATGGTGGTCAAGACATGGAGAAAACGAAAGTGTTCTTCGATAGAGGATTGGATAAAGAAGATGTGGTATCTATACTAATAAAAGGATAATATGCTAATTAGACCAGATAGACCAGACATCTTCCGGTCATCCGCTCCTCCTTCTGGACAAAGCCACAGTGGCAGGGGCTGAGGCAGAGGTGGTTAGGGGTGATCAGGCCAGCAGGGGAGGGTGGTTAGGGGTGATCATGCCAGCAGGCAGAGGCAGTTAGGGGTGATCAGGCTGGCAGGCAGAGGTGGTTAGGGGGAATCAGGCCAGCAGAGAGAGGCAATTAGGGGCAATCAGGCAGGCAAGCAGAGGGGTTAGGGGTGATCAGGCAGGCAGGCAGGTGAGCGGTTAGGAGCCAGCGGTCCCGGATTGAGAGAGGGATGTTCGACTGCCGGTTTAGGCCTGATCCCTGCAGGCAGTCGGACATCCCCTGAGAGGTCCCGGATTGGAGAGGGTGCAGGCCAGGCTGAGGGACACCCCCTGTGCACAAATTTCATGCACTGGGCCTCCAATCTATAATAATAAAAGCATAATATGCTAATTAGAACAGATGTCCTTCTGGATGACCTTCTGGACAAAGCCAGGGCTGTGAGGGAAGCCTGGGTCCCGGGTGCCAGAGGGAAGCTGGTGCTGGCAGCCAGAGGAAGGAAGGCCTACTCCTGTATGAATTTCGTGCATTGGGCCTCTAATATATATAATGGTGTACTACTCAGCCATAAGAAAAGGTGGAATTCTGCCATTTGTGAAAACATGGATGGACCTTGAAAATATTATGCTAAGTGAAATGTCAGACAGAAAAAGCTAAGAACCATATGATTTCACTCATATGTGGGATATGAAACTCATAGACACACACAAGAGTGTGGTGGTTACCAGAGGGAAGGGGTAGAGGATAGTAAAGGGTAAAGGGGCCAAATATGTAAAAGAAGCCCCAAACCTAAGGGTTTGTTTTCAGATTAGAGGAGGGGGCAGAGGAACGTGGTGGTTAAAGCCCACTTTCATATCTCATCTCTGCCACCTTCTAGTGGTGTGGCTTTAACTACTCTGGGTCCCAGTTTTCTCTAGGAAAGTGGAGATAATAATATACACACGTCAGGGGGTTGCTGTGAGGATTAATGAAGACAAGGCATGTAAAGCATTGGCACCAGGCCTAGCACACTGCACACACTCCATAAATGCCAGATGTTATTATAAACTGCTTGACAGGAAAGTGAGGGAGCAGAGAAACTTAAAGCATCTCTATAATTACATGAATTGTGATGAAACAAGTTAAACTCTTGCTTGATTTTCTTCTAAATTGGATTTTGTAAGCTAAACATGATTCTCTATATCTGAGAGCAGTTGCTAGGAGAAGCTGGCAAAAGGCAATAAAGTGGTGAACTCAGCCATTGTTCCTAAAATAAGTATGAAATGAGATGGGAGGCTCTGGAACGACTTCTTTTCAGAGGGAAAAAACAACTTCCCAAATGAGAAGTCAGGCTAGGAAGCTGATGATGGCGGGAGACAGGCCTAAAGCAAGGGATACAGAAACTGCGCTCCTTGAAAAAAAACCCTGCTGGTGCTGAGCCTCGGGGACCTTGTTGTGAAAAATGTGTAGCTGGGAATCACACACAAATATTTGTGGAGGCATATATTTATGCACCTTCGTAAGATCATTTAAGCTGGATGTTTGAGGAAAAGGTAGAAGAACCTATAGACATATCTACCCATTTTACAGGAGGGAAAATAAATGGTTGGAGGAGAGTTTACACAATGGTCAGGTGTGCAGGTGTGACGTCCGCAGAGCTGGAATAGAATTGTTGATGTTATTATCAGCTGTGTAAATCAAACTTGTTTGTCTTCCTAAGATTCTGTTCCCTCACCTGTAAGATGGGACAAACCCTATCTGCTTGGAAGAGTTATCATGAGGCTGAAATGAGACAGCTTGTGAAGTGCAGAGTATATACTAACAACTGCGAGAAAGGCTCACACTGGTAGTTGACATTACCATCCACAGAAGTAGGAAGCGTTCAGTCCCTCAAGTATTTGTGAGATATTCTCATGTATCACACCCATAAAAACAGAAGTTATTGAATTGAATTTCGTGCATTGGGCCTCTAATATATACATAATGGTGTACTATAAGAAAGTTTTAATAAGAGGAATGCATATGCTTTTGTTAATGAAGCATTTGTAGTTAATTTATTCTTGATCAGTTTAGAAGGGTAGCTCCTACCTCTGCTTGGGGCATGCATTTTTCAGGGTGAGTTTCTTTAGAAAGTAAAAGAAATTTCTGAAATCGCTGGCCTGGGTTGATGGATTTGTGGCTAAATTAACAAAGGGTGGATTCAGCTTATGAAAAATGATTTATAATCCTTTTGCCTAGTTTAGTGTCTGTTTTTGCACACATCTCAGTGGTAATCGGGAGACAAAGATTTGGTGTCTGGCAAATACTTTTTAACGTATTCCCCCTGCCCCCCCCTCCCCCAACTCCCCAAATCACTATTCATGTTAAGAGTGAAGAAAGGTCTGAGAAAACAATTCCAGCTGTGAGCGAATTGCTGTTATCTGCAGCTTGGATTCTCCAACTAGTTACCTTTTGGTCTCTTTTACTCCACTAGATGCTGTTTGTGACACCAGCCAGCCTCTCTAAGTGGCTGTGCATTATGTGGCGAGAAATATTGAACAAACATAACCCTGCCAGATGCTTTACCTAAGTCTCTCCCAAGAAAACCACAAAATGCCTTTTATGGGGTCATTTAAATGAGTTACACCGATAATAAGCAGTGAGATTTACAAATACATATCTAATGACTCTCCTTATTCATACTAAACATGGCAAATGGATATTCTAGAGGTTGCTAAATCACACGCTAAGTGCCTCAGCTGTTTGAAATTCACCAAGTTTCTTTCCTTAATGAAAAACAGATAATGCTGGCTGACAAGAACGCCAACCAAATGGTCCCTTCTGGCCTGACTGGAACGGAGGGGAGAATATGAAGCCGAGTGGAGGTTCTGAACACAGTGCACTTTAAGCGCAAAAGCCTACGAAGCGCGTGCCTCCCAAAGCGCACACCAAACCCTTCTCGGCGTGCATGTAAAATGAAATTCAAACCCGACCCTACCGCCTTGGCAAGCTTCACGCCGTGCTCGTAGGTGAGAGGTTTCTCTTTCATATACAGCAAACGGGCCAAGGTTTTGGGGTCATCGCGGAGATCAATCTGGCAAAAAACACACATGTGATAAACTCATTCTTCTTCTCAGGCATGACCAGGTATTTTAAACTGTGACATAATAGATATCTCCCCTCCCCCCTTGACATCTATGAAGTTGATGAATTTTCTCTAAGGAAGCACACACACATGCCCATATTAGGTCTGAACAGTACAGCGACTTCCTTGACAATGTACGCATCAGGCTTTCCTTGTCCTCTCCCCTTCAAAGCAGCTACCCCTGGGGCTGAGGGCTTTCTCCAATGATGCGGTGGCGGTCTCAGATGTTTTTGAAATTTTCTATTTATTTTTAGAGCATTCTGATAGGACATACAAGATAACTGATCGGTCTCATTACCTTACAGTGATGCTTAGTTAATCCCACACTATATTATTCATTTTTAATAGTTTATTTCCTGGCAAAAGAGATAGATGTTGGCTTTTTTAAACCCAAATCTCCCCCCTCACAGGGATGAGGGTTTGCCCACTGTGAGGATATTCTAACAAAGATGCTGTGGGCTCTGAAGGAAAGTCCTAAGGAGAAATTTCCAAAGGGTTTGTTTGCTCAAGGAATAAGCATTCATCTTTTCAAAGGCAAAACGACGCTGAAAGTAGCATGTATGTTTGGTTAGGTTTTATAATTTTAGTTGCTATGAAATCTCACTGTGTAAGAGAACCCATGCATACATGGATGGGTGTGAATGTGGGCCCATGCCCTGCAGTATTTTTCCTTTCTGTGTCTTTGGGCTAGTACTTTGGGTTTAACACAAAGAACAAAATCTATTTAAAACTATAAAACGTTGAAACAATATTTAACACCCTTGTGCAATTACTGTTGGAAATCCAAGCAGCAGAACTTCATTAGCTTTCAAAACACTTTAAAGGCGTTCACAGTCGCAGTTTCGTTTATCTGGAATATCTGCCTTCACTTTGTCCTAAGATCTGGAAGACTCAGGGGCTCACAGGTAAGAGAGAAGAGTGAATCTGTTTGCAGGAGTGTCACCAAGGCTTTCCTGTCATAGTATGACTGTTCTGATTGCTGGGGTTACTTTGATATTCACACCTATTTTGTGACTTTCAAACAATCATGGAATTTAGATGATATAAAAAATATCAGCTGATAAGTATAATTAACATCCCCTCTTCAGTCTTCTGGCTCAGGGCTGGAGAAGCGGGCCAATTTCAAAAATTACTTGGTTATCTCTATATATAAAAGGCTAAGTGACCGACCATCTGACTGTCCAACCGGCGGACCAGTTGGTACATATGACACGCACTGGCAATACTATATAACAAAAGCCTAATATGCTAAGTGTCTGACCGTTCGTTCAACCATTCGACCAGTCGCTATGATGCACACTGACCACCAGGGGGCAGACGCTCTGACTGGTAGGTTAGCTTGCTGCTGGGGTCCGGCCCATTGGGACTGGGCGAGACAGGCCTGACATGCCCTGGAACCCTCCCTTGGTCCCTCCCCAGCTCTGATTGGCCCAGATAAGGGAGAGACCGGCCAGACATGCCCTGGAGCCAATCTCCTTCGGTCCCTCCCCAGCCTCTAAAATATTTCTTCTAATTAATTTCCTTTCAATGTGC